GAATGGAATTAATATGAGAAAATGGAAAATGGAAACAAAGTCTTTGTATATAGGGAGGGATGGAGGGGTTGAAGGGAGTCCCAGGGAAGGGGGAAAATAAAAACCAAGAGATATATGTAAAGGTGCAAATTTCCAATGATGAATATCATTATATTGTATACCTAAAATGCATCAATGATTAGAATGAATAATTGATAATGTGAAATAGGAAGAAAAGGTCCAAAGGGGTAGGGAAAGTGCGAGAGGCAGGGGAAAGGAAAGAAGGGAAAGGAAAGAAGGAAAAGGAAAAATTGTGAGAAATGTAGAAAATGGAAACAAAGTCTTTGTAAGTAGGGAAGAGTGGAGGGGGTGAAGGGAGGGCTGGGAATGGGGAAAAAATAAGAACCAAGATACATCATGTACAGCTACAAGATCCCAATGAGAAATGTAAATATATTTTATCCCTAAAATCTACCAATACAAGAATTTAAAAACAAAGATCAATAGCTATCATTGGCCAATCACATGGAACTGCAGTGTTTATGCATATCCCCTATTTTGCCACAATTAAAGCACTGTATCTCTGAAGAAGCCTGATTTTGTTTAATTAAGCCAAACATAGGGTGGGTGAGATAGAGAACTTTTGGTCTTTGGTACCCACATCTTGACACACTTTCAAATAGGTTCTGAGATTTTTCGTTGCTCAGATGGCCGCTAGCACTTGTTGACAGTCTACGTTTGCATTCTTGAAAGCCAGCTGCAACATCACGATTTCTGTGGCTTGGGCATTTGGACTCTGTCATTAGACAGCTTCCCAAAACCTGGCTAAAAACTGGGCATAGGGCTCACCAGGGCCTTACAGAATGTGTAAGAAAGACTGAGTAGGAATACCGTCCCCAGGAGTAGTTACCCAGGCTCCTTTCACTGTAAGAGCCATTTGCTGATATGCCTGGTTTGGAAGTGTTAGCTGTGCAATTAGATCTGAGCTCGGACCTGTTCCCAGCAGCATTTCATCTGTAACTTCTGAGTGTCCTGCTGCCCAATTCTGTTGAGCTTGCTCAGCTGCTAACTCTTGATAGTTAACATGAAAAGTTAAATATTGCCCTGCAGAGAGGCAGGACTTAGCTAAATGCTTAATATCTAAAGGAGGCAAGCACACAGCTCCTAGTACAGACTCCAATAAGCCTATTGTAAAAGGTCCTTGCACATGACACTGGATTTTAATTCTTTAAGAAACTTACACTATAAAGGGTTGTGCTCATGAACATTTTGTTGTGGATTGTTAGGGTCTGGAAAAATAGTAATTGGAAATGCACACATCCCAAAAGGCTCTCCATTAAGTGCAGTCTGTCTAACCAGTCTTTGATAAGAGGACACTACTTCTGTCTCAACCACAGATGGAGAAAGAGGTGAAGGAAGAGAAGGGGACCTAGGCTCTTCACCCTCATCTTCATCTTCTCTCAGGGGTGAACTAGGTGTTGGATGTTCCCCTGCACTTAAAGGACAAAGAACTTCACAGACCAATGTGAAGAATGTTTTAGGGAATATAGCAAAGTGCTGGATAAAAGCACACTCCAAACCCTCTCTTACTTGATCCCAACTCTTTACATCAAAGGTACCTGTCTGAGCAAACCAAGAATTATGTCAGATAACATCTCGCAAATCTGAGAAATTAACTGGGTGCTAACTTTAGCGCCAGACTGGATCAACAGAATTTTCAACAAAGGGATATAACGCTGTACTTCAGTCAATGAATTCTGCCCTTTTACCCTGACTCTCCCCCACACACTCATATTCCTTTTCTCTCATTTTCTTCTCTTTTATTGCTCTCTTTTTGCTGTTTGTCATTTTCTTTTGCTGGCCAGCACCTCTCCATTGCAGCAGTCCCTGTCACTAATTCTCTAAGCTTTTTCCCAAGGGTGGACTTCCTTGACTAGGTCCCTATTCTGATGCCAGCTGTAGGAACAGCTGTAGTCTCCTACCTTTGACGATACTTCTCCAGGTAAACAACCTAACCTCAGGTGTTTTTACTCTTCCTTGCAGCATGTCAGCATGCTTGCATGCTGTCTTTCTTCTCAGTGCTCATTGAGGAGGTCAGTTAGGCCTCGTTCTTCCTATCTGGTCTCCCATAAACATATTAATTTTTTAATGACAAATTTACAAAGGACATAGTAATACTCTTGGGGCAAAGTTTGGAAATAGATAATTCACAGGTAGATAGCAGTAGTCTGTAAGTTCATTGTAATGTATATTTGTTTTTGCTTAAATTTTCTATCAGTTCTTCTAGAGTTGTCTTCATCTTCTGTCAATAGGCCCCAAAGTTCATCTGTGGACTTCATTCCTGACCTCAAGGATCAAATCAATCAGTAGTTCAGGGTTGGGCATATGTCCGGAGTGGGGGAATGTATTCAACTCCTAAATTATTTCTGGAATATATTAGTAAGAAGACTGACCATTAATCCTGATTTGCCGACTTGATTGGATTAAGAAATGCCTAGTCAATTAGTAAGGCCTGCTTTTGGTTACATCTGGGCAAGTTGTAGAGGCATGACTTTGGATACTCTATATGGTGCCTGGTCTCTTCTTTTCCGGTGCTGTTACCCTGCTCTGCTTCCTGGCCACCATGAACAATACCTTTCTGCTATGATGTTTCTTCCATAGAGCAAATGATTGTGGAATAAATCCCCTGAAAGCATGAGCCAGACCAAACCTGTCCTTTTTAAAGTTGTGAGTGTCAGGTGTTCTGTCTCAGTGACAGGAGGGACTTCCACTTGAGCATGTGTGAAGGTGGAGCTGCTGCAGGAATTGTGCCACTCTGTGGAACCTGAGAAGAAAGCTTACAAATCGAAGAAATAAGAGCACAGTAAGTGAGGAAATAAGAGGCTAGAAGCTAAAAACTTTTTTGGATCTAGGACTCCAGCTGTGCCTGGAAAGTGGTTACAAACTTTCTCTTTTTTTAAATTAAATTAGTTACTTTATAAAACATTGCAGATGTCATAATTGTGAACATAACAATTTACCAAACTGTAGTTAACTGGTGCAATTTGCTGAGCATGTTTTATAAAGAAAAGGAAATGCCACAACCCTGTTAAAGTTGTTCCACTGCAGCCTAGAAGAACAAGAGATTTGTTTCTCAGACACTTGAATCAGGTAGTTTCCCTCCCCCTTCCTGAAGCACGCCATCAGTAGAAATAGTCTAATAAATTAAAAACTAGATGGTCTATGCACTCAGCAGATTCCACAGTAATTATTGTACTGCAATAATGGAGAGGTTTAGCCTCTTCAGCTTCAAAGTTGGAGGGTTTTGGTCATTAAATTTTTAAGTATCTTCACTCTGAGATAAGCAGTCTTCTTCACAATGGATTTTTAATATCCTCATGCTCAATTTTAAGACAAAGTAATTTTAATACTAGGTGCACACCACATGCCCTTGCTGCAAACTGCTTTTTTTGACAAGTTATAAAGTAGTTCAAGGAGGTATGGTTAAGGCTGTATTCCTGAATGGTGCTGGTAAATACTACATAATTTTTTGTCATCTTGCAACCTTTGTTGTCAATTTAGTGAATGCTGCTATGGAATCATATAGCAACAATGACAACATTATTAGATCTGTTTTTAAACTATGATTTAGTAGCAATTGAGATTCCTGATTTTAACCCCTTGGCAGCAAGATCCAAATTCCCTCATTTGCACATTAGCACCTAAGTGTCAAAGAGTTGAGTAACCAGCACAAAAGATACTGCACTTCTGATTGTAGCATTTGGCAGAACTGAAAGGAAAGGAAGTTGTGCTACATGTTGAAGGGATTGTGGGCAACAGAAAGAAGACACCAGAAGATAAAATGTCACATGAAGTCTTAATAGTCTTGTACATATCCTCCATCATAACCACCATAATCTGCCAGATCGTCTTTCATGGTGGCCTTTAATCCATCTCCAGGAACCACATCTTTCTTCTTCTTTTTGGCTTTGCTATGCTTTTCTTGCTTCTTTTTTTCACTGCAAAGCACAGTCAATGAAATACACACATCTCGAACTAAGGCTTCCAAAAAACTGGCATAATACAGTGACTTTTCATATTGTGTAATTTTATCTTTTAGTAATTTTCCAAACTCTGTGAAATTATCTCTTGAAGATGGATCCATAGCATCAATTCCATAAACTGTATTATTAACACCAAAAGTTTCTTTTGCTAATTCAGGGTCTGACTCTTCCTGTAATTTCTTTAGCTGTAGTTTATCTGCTAATTGTTCTTCCAGTGTCAGCACCTTAGGTTCTTCAGGTTCTTCTAACCTCTTTTTAATTTCTTCTTGCCTTTTCTTCTGTTGCTGTTCTTTCTCTTTTATCTTCTCTGCTATTTTTTTCTTTTCTAAAATTTTTATTTCTGGTTTTACTTCTGTTTCCACTTTTTTGTCGTCTTCATCATCATCCCAGTTATCCTTAACGTCCTGGTCTTCGTCCTCGCCTTCCCAGCGGTCCCCGCCGGCGGTACCGCTGCCCTCCACCTTCCGCACCGGGTCTTCCACGGAGAATGTGTCTGCGTCCCAGGAGTCGGAGTCGCCCGCCACCGCCGCCGTCGCTGCCATGTCGAGCCGGGTGTGAGAGTCCGAGAGGCAAGCGCCACGAGGAGTCAGCACGGCGGAGATGACTCACCGAGTGGCCCTTGGTGGCCTGCGAGGGGCAGGCCACAAACTTTCTTGAGAACAATGTGTTAATAATTTTATTCCAGGTAACCCAAGTATAAATAATATAGAATCTTCAAATTAATACATTGTAGACTTCACAGTCATCACGAATATATCTGGATGATTTGATTAATGATGAATTTAATTTAATTTTTTATATTCTATTTTATTCCCAAAGTTTTCTAAAATAGTATTATTTTTCTTTTCTAGTTACTGTCTTGTAGAAGTATTGTAAATCAGAAACAGGTATATTATTAAAGTGTCAATTAATTTCTTGGTCATGTGGACAATGTAATTTAATTAGTTTGAATTCAATTGAACTTAAAAGTATTAATTCTTATGGATACAATGAGATGTTCCCCAGAATTAAACAATGTGTAAAGTTTTAGAAAATAACCCTCCAGGATTCCAAAAACAAATGTAAATTTGGGTAGTTACCAGACCAACTAAATTTTGATTACTTCCTAGAAGAATTAATACAACCCACTGAAAGTAGTATAGTCATAGTTCTGCATTACTATGAAAAGAGATATGGGCTAATATTTGGAAACTTTCTAAGTATGAATCTTCTGTTGTGTTTAGGATGAGGACCCGACACTGGTATATGACAATACATATATACTAATATTACCAACCTAAAAAGTTCGCCACAGCTTCAGTGCCCAGATTTTTTTTAGCGAGGCTTCATTAAAACAAGACTGACTGATTTGTTTGGCCCTATGGTTTAACTTGAGCCCATAATGTTAAGTGAAATAAATCAGACATACAAGCTTAAATACTGCATGATTTATATTATATGAGAAGCCCAAAATGTGAATCAAAAGAAAAAAATATATAGATAATAAGAAGCAGGGAGATAGATCTCTCTCAAAAAGGAAAGGGGATCAAGAAGTGGAGGGAGGGAAAATGGAAGTATAGGATGGGGATGAAAAATTAAGGAATGTTATGTACATGTACCAATCCCCCACAAGGAATGTAATCAATATGTACTGCAAAGGAGTATGAAAAAATTTTAAAACAATATTATCATATAAAAGGCTCCAGCCCTTATTATCTCAAAGAAACACTGAATTAACAAATATTCAAGAATGAAGATACTGTCACATGAGTTGTGGAATGACCCAGGGAAAAATCACAGAAACTGAATGGAGCACAGAAATGAAAAAAGATGCATTTAAATGGTAAGAAGAACAATTTCAATTACTTACATTAACCCCTTTCCAAAACCTGCACAGTTAAGCACTAAGAACAATCTTCTTGCATTTAGCATTCTCCTGTGAGCTAAAAGAGAGGAAAATGAGCACCAGAAATTGGCACAGATTGTAGCACTGCACTCATTGGAATAGAAGCACTCAAAATCTCTGACCAGGCTGACTGTTAAAGAGCTTTGCTGCTAAGACGATCTATAAAGACTAGAAGAGGTGATTGTCTTTTCAAGTGCACAGACATCTGTACAAAGCTATTTGGTAGAATCTAAGAAATGTGATACCAACCAAATAGCAAAATAAACCTCCAGTAATCAACCCTAAAGAGGTGAAGATCTACAACCTACCTGAGAAAAAACACAAAATCATCTTAAAGAAGTTCAGTGACCTACAAGAGATTCAAGATAAATGAATAATATAATCAGTACAATACATGAACATGAGTAATAGTTCAATGGAGACAGCAACTATAAAAAAGAACCATACAGCAATTCTGGAGCTGAAGAATACAATAACTGAACTGAAAAATTCAATAGAAAACTTCAAGAGCAGACTGATCAAGAATCAGTGAACTGTAAAGGACAACAACAACAGCAAATTCCAGATCACATACACAAACATAAAAAAAAAACCCCCAAAATTTAGACGCTTGAAATTATTTAGTTAGAGGAACAGAAGCTTCAACAACAAATGATTGGAAAAGAGTAAAGAAAATCTATAGGACTTAAGAGATACCATCAAGTGAACCTATATATGCATTAATGATATGAAAGAAGGAAAAGAGGTGGGAAATAGAAAGGAATGGAAACCTTATTCAAAGAAACAATGGTTGAAAACTTTCTAAAACTGGAGAAGGTAATGGATATCAAGGCATATGAAGCCTTCTCCAAAAAATCCCCAAATATATTGAAGCTAATAAATCTATATTGAGATACAAGACAGTTAAATTGTCAAAAGTCATGTCGGGGATTTAGCTCAGTGATTCTAGCACCTTCCTTGCAAGTGCAAGGTCCCGAGTTTGATCCCAGGTACAAAAAAAAAAAAAAAAAAAAGAAGAAAAGAAAAAGAGAAAGAGAATTTGGAAACAACATGAAAAAAAGTAGTAGAGAAACTGTAGTTTAAACTTTAAGACTATCATTGGATTTCTTGACAGATACTTTTCAGGGGCAAAAAGAGTAGTGCAGAAATAAATAAATATGCTCATAAAGAGTACTATGTATGGCAAATTTTTTCTCTTCAAATCAAGGAGATATAAAGACACTGAGATAAACAAAAATTGAGGAAGTTTGTCAGCACTAAGCCTATCCTAAAAGAGGTGCTAAATAAAGCATTTCAAGTTTTTTTTTAAAGAAAGGATGTCAATAAACACCATAAATGCATATGGAAGTATACCTCTCATTGATAAAGGTAAGTATAGAAACAGATGCAGAAAAAAAGAGTGCTATAATGATGTCACATAAATTACATTTAACTTCAATCTAAAAATAATCTATGAAGAATAACTATAACTAGAAGATGTGGTCTGTCATAAAGAATCCACTTGTAAAAAATAGGCTTTTGAAAGGAAAGTTTAATCCATTTAACAGGGTCTAGAATTCATGAGATTTTAGCAGACTGGGAAAATCCAAGTTTATCACATCTGTGTGTGGATGGGCTGACATTGGGAGATAGTGGCATCTAACTGGGAGAGATTTCATCAGTGAGTGGATGGGATAAAACCAGGAGAGAGAGATATAAGCAACTAACTGGGAGAAGAATTAGGCTTATACAGGCATTGAATGGACTAAGGGATCTGGGGTGAAATATTTATGACTTCGATGCCCAAGGATGGTCTGCACACAGACCCAAGGACAGTGTGTACACAATTACTGGACTTCTTGGTGCCGGGGAGTTGGGGGTTATATACTATATTTTGAGTCCATTTGCCCTATTTACTATGAAGCTGCTGCTGTTTGCTGAGAGCAGCCTGTTTGCTTTTTCCTGTTGGTTTTGGGCAGGCCTGACATAAACCCAAATATAGTTGGCTGTAAAAATGAAGTCGATTAATGGATTCATGATATGAAAAAAAAGTAAATTCTGACTCCAATACAAAAGATGTGTGTCAAAGAGTAAAAAATGCAGTCTTTTTTGTGTAATTTAAATTGTTACCAGCTTAAAATAGACTGTTGCCACTATAAGCAACTTTATCCAAGCTTCATGTTAACCTTAAAGAATGGGGAAAAAACAAGAACTTCAAGATAAAAAAAAAAGATAAAGAGAACAAAATCAAAATCCAACACTTAATTTAAAAAATCAACACACATAGCAAAAATGGGAAGAAACAAAATAGGGATAAAACAATTAACAAAAAGCAATACTTAACAAAAAGCAATTACTTAATTACTTAATTACTCTAGGGCCGGGGATTTAGCTCAGTGGTTTCACTGCCGGCTGCACAAGCACAAGGACCAGAGCTCAATTCAATCCCTGGTACCAAAAAAAAAAAAAAAATGAAATAATTACTCTAAATCGATATGATTAAGCTGACTAATCAAAGTAGAGGGACTATCTAGATTAACAAAAAGTTTCAACTACATACAAAACATTCACATTAGATTTAACATTACAAAATGGTTCCATAGAAAAATTTATTCTGTACATATTCATTTTAAAAGAGAGAGTAGAGATGTAAAGATTATAATAGACAACATAGAGTTTTAGTTTAAGTAAAATACTGTTACAGAAGACAAGGTCATCTCATAACAATAACATGGCTAGTTCACCACAAAGACATGACAATAGTATATATGTATGCACTCAGCAACAGAGTACTTAAATACATGAACAATCTTTGAGAGATCTGAAGGGGAAAAAAGGAGACAGTAATTCAATAGCATCAGGAAACTTTAGTACTTCACTTTCAATAATGGACAGTCACCAGACAGAAAATCAATAAGTAAACTACAGACTTGAACAACACAATAGACCAAATAATTCTGAATGATATACAGAATAGTCTAACTAAAAGCAACAGAATGCTCACTCTTCTCAAATGCACACAGAACTCATTCTCTAGGAGATCAGGAGCTAATTCATAAAACAAATCTTGACAAATTTAAGATGAGTGAAATCACTCCAAGTATCATTTCTGGCCACAGTATAGCAAAACTAGATACTGATAATAAAATGTAAATGGAAACAGTAACAAATATATGGATATTAGAAGACAGAATCTTGAACAACCATTGGGTAAGAGATTTCAAAATGTAAGAAATTATCTGAAGACAAGTGAAGTCTAAAGACACAACATACTGAAATTTATTTTATGTAGCAAGATAAATACCTTAGAGGAATTGTGTAGTAATAAATATCTATATTAAAAAAGAAATGAAGAAAAATATAAAATGAACAATAGATTAACAATATACTTCAAGGAATTTGAAAAAGAACGTACTAAGCATAAACCTAGAAGAAAAAAGAAGTAATAAAGCAGTGATAAATGAAATAGAGATACATAATAGAAAAAAATAAACTAAGTGTTGATTTTTAAAAGATAAAGAAAATTGACAAAATCTTTGCTAGACTAAGAAAAAGGAGAGATTAAAAAAACATAAATGAAAGAAGGAACATAACAAATGATGCCACATAAATAAAAATGATTATAAGAAATCACTATGAACAATTACACATCAACAAATTGGAGAACCTAGCTTAAAT